TTAAAGGCATGGAAGCTAGAATCATAATCAATCATACAGATTTAATTTAATTTAATCTATAAATAAACATAAGTTTTTTCTAAAAATTATAAATTATTTTAAGAAAAATATTATAATATATTTGTATAATAAATACAACAAAAATATTTTTAAAAATTTTTATAAATTAATTAAATAAATGCAACAACCTAAAACTAAAAAATTATAAAATTAAGCTTTAAAATATGATTTATTGACTTAATTATTAAGCAGAAAAATTATAATTAAATCAAACATATTTAAATTAAATTTCAAAATTTTTATAATAATTAGAGAAATTGGAATTAAATCAGGAATTGTTTTATAATTAAATTTTAAAGAGATGAAAATAAGAATCTTGATCATGATGAATTGTATACACAGATTTAATTCAATTAATTCTATAAACAAAATTTAAATTCTATAAAAATTTTTAAATTTTTCTATAAATTAGAGCAATTTAGCTAAACTGAAGAATAATAAAATTAAACTAATTAAAAAACCTGTTTTATTTATTAATTAAAATAAATTAAAATAAAATTAGATATTTTTTTAAAATTAATTTTTTTTAATTTTATACCAAATATTTAAAGTAATAGAAGCAAACAATGGGATCTTAATGAATTGCATACACAGATCTAATTTAATTAACTTTGCAAATATAATTAAATTAAATTAATAATAAATATATTACTTGACAAATTTTTGTAAAAATAATTTAATATTTATTATAATATATTCATGCAATAATTATAAAAATGTTTTAAAGTTTACCTATAAAGTAAAACAATATAAAACTTTAATACTAAAAAATTATAAATTAAACTTTAAAAAATTATTTAAATTGGCTTATTTATTAATTAGATAAATAAAATTAAAAGTTAAAACTTTTTAAATTAAATTTTTAAAAATTTTTATATTAGATTCATAAGAAAAGAAAAGAAAAAATGTGATTTTAATGAATAGATACTTACATTTTAACTTAATTATCTCTATAAAAATTTAAATTTTATTAAACAAATAAATTATTTTTACGGAATTATAAAATATAAAGATTTTTAAAGATATTAATTAAATTAATACAATATAATTCACTTTAAAACTTGAAAATTATAGAATTAAACTTTTAAAAAGTTATTATATTAGATTAATTATTAATAAGGATAAATTAAAATGGAGTTAGGAATATTTTAAATTAAATGTAAGAAATTTTTATACAAAATATTTAAAGTTATAGAAGCAAGTAATGTAATCTTTATAGACTGCGTATGCAAACTTCTAAGTTGATTATCTCTATAAAAAATTTAGATATTATAAAAATATTATAATACATTAATTTAGTAAACATTAAAAAAATAAATAATAAACAGAAATTATATATTTTATATATTTTAATAAAGATATCTTTCTCTCCTTGTTATGGTATAGGTGAAAGTGAAGATTAACCGAATTAATTTGCAAAATCTTTGAAAATGATCAACAATTATATTACTTATTTAATTTTAAAATTAAATATTAATAATATTTTTAATAATTTCATTTAATCTGCCAGAAATTGATAATAAATTTAGCGAACAATGCATTTTATGGGTACTCTTCATTTACTAAAAGCATTTTTGTATGGTTCACTGGATCAATATTCGGTTATTAATTCAAATTTCGAATGATAGAAAGCTTCCGGCATTCTTTGTTATTATATATAAACCTTTAAGAATTTCATTTTCTTGATATTAACAGTAATTTAATACTTTTTTAATTGATTATTCACTGTTTAAAGAAACATTTTATGATCTTTAACATTCAGTTTTTAAAAGTAATAAAATAATATGAATTGTTTAAATATTTTAAATTACCACTTGAAAAGTTTAATTAAATTTATCGATCATTTTAATTAAGAATGAATAATAAATTAATATCTATATTTTTATTAATGATTCATAAGTTTAAAAATCATTTATCATCATACAAACTCAATAGAAGTATTTGAATATTTGTCGACTTCCAGCTCCAATATTGATACAAATATTTAAGACATAATTTATATATTTTGAGTTTTATATATTAAAATTATTAAATTTTATAAAAATTATATTATGTAATAAGATAATTCCGCATTTAAATTATTTATTAACCATTCTCTGAAGGGATAGAGCCATATGTTTAACAACAATTTAACTTAAGAAACAGGTAGTTATATCTAACAAAAATGCTATTTTTAGATGAAAAAAAAATGTAAATATATAAATCTAAAATTCTATTACTAGAAATGGAAAAATAATAGTTAGAGGAAAAATTCAAATTTTAAGACAAAGTAAAGAATTTGGAGAATGTAGTAAACATCTCAGCAGTGGTATAAGGATGTTATTTTAATCAATCCTTATATGTCCAGAAGTAGGTGCGAACCAAGTCTTTCCTACATTTGTCCTCTTAATATTTATTGCAGTCGTTTAAAGTTTTGACGGGCAACAACATATGTTGGCGCCATAACTGATTCCATGCTGTCGCAAAAAGGTGACGCGAAAACTCTTTTCCTGCATCCAGGTGAGTAGGAAATTATCAATATTTTTTAAATTCAAGTATTAAAATCATTAAATTTTATTTCTCGACATTATAAAATTATAACTTCTTTACTTAATTCAAGAATTTAAAAAAATATATTTGTTTAATTATTATAACTTAGTCTACACTAACTCGATGTTAATTATTTTTACTCTAATTTAGAAATTTAAAACAATATATTTTAAATTATAATCACATGCTTAACTACTTATGTGCACTATACACTATTAACATGATAATTATGTGCATTATGTTTACTTAATTTAAAAATTATTTTTTAATTATTAAAGTTTATACTTAACTCTATGTTAATTATAAATGTGTGATATGTTTGCTTAATCCAACAACTTAAAATCTATATATTTTAATTATTTTGGCTTATGTTTAACTCTAGTCATGTGTACTATGTTTACTTTAGCTTATGTTTAACTTTATGTTAATTATGAGTATTATAATTATTTTAATTTAAGAATTTAAAAATATTCTGGTTAAATTTCTGACTTCTAAAAGCAAGCCATAATAATTAATTAAGTAATTAGTAACTAACTTTGTTAGTTGCATATACTGTATTGTGTTTACTCTAATTAAATTAAATTATTAAGAAATTTCTAAAAAATTTAACTCTAAAAAAATCTAAATCTAATAAATAATAATTTTATTTTTCCTAAAATAATGAAGCTAATTTTTCTAAAATGAAGAAAATTTTTGTCCAAAAAAGATTTTAAAAATTATTGTGAATTATAACTAATCTTGTATTTAGCCTACTATACATTTCCTAATTAAAAAATAAAAACTAATAAAAATTAAATATAATAATAATAATTTAAATTAATGTAAAAGATAATAAAAAAATAGAAATTTAAAAGTTTTATTAATTATTAATCATTTACTTCATGTTATCAAAACTATACTGTATATCTTATTTTAATTAAATTAATTTTAAATATATTAAAATTTC